GTGTTACGATCTGAAACCAAAATCAGCAAGCAAGCGGTGATGAAATGACAATAGATAGGTGGAAAAACTCAAATGAGGGCTGCTATTACGAAAATCAAAGGAAAACAAGATACAATGATGATCTACTGTTCGAGAGGTAGATCATCTCTCCCACAACTTTAGACATCGCTAGGAGCAAGCACAAGAAAAGAATAAAACTATAGCCAAAAACATCCCTGCAAACCATAACCTCTTTATTCTCCTAAATACTTTCCTAGATCCTTTCAAAACTTTTTCTCCCCAAATTCTTCTTAATTTCCTTCTATACTTGAGCAGTGGTCGCATAATTCCTGCCTAGGCGTCTGGATCACCTCCTGCATCCCAATCATTGACTGACTGGCTTAGACCGGCCACCGGCTGGTTTTCCGTGGGCTGGTCGGTCCAAGACTGGTCCTCTCTGGACCGATTCCTCTCTAGGGGTGTCGCTTCTATTCATAACAACCTCGATGTCATCTGTCAATGTCAGGAGTAGTGAAGACGATGGTGTATGATCTCTGATAGCATGCCTCAGTTAAGAAACATGAAACACAGGATGTATTGTCGATGAGGGGGGGTAGCCTCAAACGGTAGGTCACTGCCCCAATACGTGTCGTAATCTCGTAGGGTCTGAAATATCATGGAGAAATTTTTTCGTTCCTCCTCCTCGCTAATGTCTTCTGCCATATGACGTCAGTTTTAAGTAAAACATGCTCCCGGGCTCGAATTCTATCTCCATTCTATGCCTATCCGTCTTCACCTTCATGATTTGTTGAGCTCTCAGTAGATGTCCTTTGAGCTCTATTAATACTCTGTCCCTCTCCTCCAAGTAATGGTCAAACTAGATACCAACGTGACACTATGCTTGTAGTGTATCAGTTGAGGTGGATCCCGCCCATACAAATTTTGAAATGGGTGGTTTGTGTCGCGGTGTGACATGAAGCATTGTACCAATATTATACTCACGTAATACACCTGACCTACAATTTCAGCGTATTTGATACAAAGCAATGTAGATATGTCTCCACACTCATGTTGGCCACCTTTGTCTGGCCGTCGATTTGGGGGTGATATGCAATGCTTCTCTTAAGGACTGTTCCCCGTAACCTTAGCAACTTCTTTCATAAGTGGCTGATAAACACTTTGTCTCTATCTGATATAATAGATTCTGGTACTTCGTGCAGGTGAACCACTTCCCGTATGAACACCATCACTATTGAGTCTGTTGTGCAGTGGTGTCGTAATGGGATGAAATGAGCATACTTGCTCAGGCGATCCACAACCACTAGAATCACCGTAAACCCATTTGATTGGGGCAACCCCTTAATGAAATCCATGGTCACTTCTTCCCAAGCATTCTCCGGTAGAGCTAGTGGTTGTAGCAACCCTCCTGGCTCCATAGTCATATATTTGTGTCGATGGCATATATCACACCTTGTCACCATGTCTTTTACATCTTTGTGCATCTCCAATAAGTAAAGCTCTGTCGATAGATGATTGTAGGCCATCTATACCCAAGAATGTCCCCCAATTTCACTGTCGTGAAACATTTGCAATAATCAGGAAATGTACTTCGATGTCCTCGGTAATACGAACCATCCCTGGTAGAGTTGTTGTTCCGCCTCAATGCATATCCTGGATGATTGTTTGGATCTGATAGCAACTCTGCACTCATTTTCCTCAGCCTTTCATCTTGCTCACTCTCTTTTCTCGTTCCTTCCCAATCGAAGACCAAGGGTACTGATAAGGCTGCCAGCGAAGGCTCTCTCCTTTCCTTGACAGGGCATCTGTAGCTTTATTCTCCAGTCCTGCCGGTACTAATCTCGAAATCATATACGAGTAGCTTGGATAGTCGTCTCTGATGCTCCTCATACAACATCCTCTGCTCCAACAAGTACTTCAAGCTTCTCTGATCTATTATGACAAGAAAGTGTCGTCCCAAAATGTAGGGGCACCACTTCTGAATGGCCAAAACAATAGCCATCAACTCCCTCACATATATCGACTTGAGCTTCTCTCTAACGATCAGCACCTGGCTGAAATAAGCAGTCGGTCGCTGGTCTTGCATGAGTATTGTTCTCAACCGTTCCCTGATTCATCTATCTCTGCCATAGATGATCGCCTAAAATTTAAAAGTGCTAATATTGGTATAGTGGTCATGGCCTTCTTCAAATGTTTGAAGGTCTATGTTGCGTTTTTCCCCGCTTGAAATTGTCTTTCTTTAGTTGCTCCGTTAGTGGTCATGCTATCGT